ATGTCTTTACAAAAAGAAATTTAATGTGTTTTTAATTGTGGACACAGAAAACTACCGTTTGGTCTTGTTGTCTATATCTTAACTAGAGCTTTATAATCTACTCATACGTAGACGTCTCATATGATTAGACTTTTTGTATGTATAGATAATTAATCCTATTCGATGTTTTTAATATATGTTATACTAGATTGAAATCTACTAGGATTAAGGTAAACTTTTAACTAACTTACTCTGTTATTTACCTTAATCCTACATATATATAATAAAATAATATATATAATAAAACTTTTATTTAGGTTATCTTGTTACTATTTTTGAATTTTTGTACAATTTTAAGCTTACGAGAAGCATTCTCATTTTTCCCATAGATATTTTTGGGATCCCGGGACGCATTTTCGCGTACGAAGATGTTTTTTTTAGTTTACTATTCTCTATCCTGGAAACTTTTTTGTCAATCAAAATCATTGTGCTTTTCATTGAGTGATATTTAGCAGCTTATAAAGATACAATATATGTACATACATACATATAGTAGACGACACATTTGGCTCAGTTTGTAGTGACCCTACTTGCTGTGGCAGTGGTCGCGGATTCGAGTCTTGCCGGGAGCATTCATTTGTGTAACGAGCACGAATACTCCAGTCATGGGTGCTTATATTTATAATATGTATGTATTTAAAATTATATATGTGTAGTGTATCAACTATCTGGTATCTATAACACAAGCTTACCATGGAACTAGATGGTGCTGCGTGTTAATGTCCCAACATATTTATTTATTTATTTATATGTATATTTACTCTTAATCTTAAGTCAATGCATATTTTATTTAATTGGTTGTCCGTGATTATAGTCAGCACTCATATGACGTACGCTCGCTTAAAAATTGGCACACAACGGAAACGTTCCTAATTAACAGCTTACAACTGTTAGCTTAATAGATATAATGATGACACAAGATTTTTTCTTACTGACATACTTAGTGGTAATCTTTGTGGTTACCTTTGAACTGCGATTGAGATGAAATTACGATACATGTGCAAATTTTTATGTAAACTAGAAAGCACAATAATATGAAATTTAAAAATAAAATAAATGTTACAAATATTATTATAAATGTTATATGAAATTGAGTATATTTATTATGAAAAGCAGAAAAGTTAAAGACCTAGAAAAGCTCCACTGCAGTCTCCATTTGTATTAAACAATATTTTTTGGACTTGTGGTCACTAAATTAACATTTTTTACTGTTTAATTGGATAATTCAAGCTAAGGCCTGCTTGCTTTGTCTGGCTGTGCAACTCTAAGAATAAATTAACGAAAAATAAGTCTTCCCAACTTCCTACTGCCAAGAGTAGAGCTCATAAATTTATAAACAATGTAGATAGGACATCAAAAAAGGAGTATTCTACCACATCATTTTGTATGTAAAAGCAAGAATGGTTGATACTGAGATGCAGAGCGCTACGCTTCGTCAACGGTGCGTTAAGAATAGACCCGTAATAGCAACATATACCGATCTAATGTTCTCGAATTGTGTGCCAGATGTTCTTAAAGATATTTGTTCTATACTTATTGAGCGTGTTACTTAATCTTATATGTAACTACTCGTATATTATCAAATATTACTATCGATATAAACAAAATCATATATTTATATAATAATTGGTTTTTCGGATATTATATTGTATTATAAAGTACTAATATTTACATATTGTGAATTTCTAATACGAAATGTAATAATGCAATATTTGAGGATTTTCAATTACATCAGAAAGTATTAATTATAATGATTATTATTATTTTAAATGTGCGGAATCATAACTTAGGCTTTATTATATTGGACGAGATGGACTTACAGAAGTTTAATGCCACTAACAGAAGATCCTTTGTACTAAGGCACATCATTTCCTAATCTATACATATACCTAATAAAATTCTAACTGCGTCGAATCTATACATTAAATATTTTTTGGAAAATCTTATTGAAATAGTCATTATTATCGATACAGAGGCCTAGTATATAGTTTTTAGAATATTTGTCTGCCTGTCTGTCTGTTTGGGAATGCATCACGAGAAAACCACTGGATAGATTTTGATAAAATTTGGTATGATTATAGGTAGTTCTCCGGGTCAACATATAAGATACTTTTATTGCGGGAAAATAGCTCATCTGTGAGAAATCTATACTAAACGTTAAAACGTAACTAGACGAACCCGCGCGAAGCGAGGATGAGCCGCTTGCACTGGTTCTATAATCAGTAACACCATACATACCTATATTTGTATTTATTTTTTTGCATGATATTTTTTGTAAGCTCAAGGCTTAGTATTCACGGAGTTAAAGAGGAAAGCAAAAGTTGATTTTTGTTTTTTAGTAAAAATTGTTCTAGTGTATTTCATTCACGGGTTGAAGGGCATTTTTATATAGCGACTTCATTTTATCCTGTTATGTTAAATGGCCAAGTTTCTTAGGGAGCAGAATGTATAGAGTGAAACCTGGACAGACACTAGGTCTAAAGCAAACCTATTTTGAAATGAATATTATGAAAATCTATTTTAAAAATTATATCGTATTTGTATTCCATATATATGAGCATTTGATAAGCTGATAATTTTATTATTTTCTAAATTTCCCTCCAAATCCTAAGATATAGTCACCTATATATATGTATAATAAAATTGTAACTAAGCCGAATCTGTACATTAAATATTTTTTGGATAATCTTATTGAAATACACATTATTATCGATACAGAGGCCGAATCTTTAGTTTTTACAATTTTTATCTGTCTGTCTCTCTGTCTGTCTGTTACCGCATCACAGAAAAACCACTGGAGGGATTTTGATGAAGTTTGGTATGGTGATAGCTGGTTAACATATAGGATACTTTTTACCGCATGAAAATTTCTCATTTCTGAGAAAAATACAAAAACTGTATTGTAAGAGTATACTAATATGTAAAACCTAAGAATTTGCTTTTTGGTCATCTAAACGTGGGCGGAGCCGCGGGAAATGTTAGTTCTGTATATATAACAAACTTTTGCCGAATTAAAAATGTGAAATAATAGTTGAAAGATAGATAGATAGAAAGGCGAGTGACTCTATAAAGGCTCCAGTTTCTTAATGCACTTAGATAATATCTGAAAGGATATTTTTTGTTACATTATTACCACTTGCCTTAACGGTGAAGGAAACATCGTGAGGAATATGGCCTGATCCCCCTCGTACTGAAGGGAGGCCCGTGCCCAGCAGTGGGACGTTAAAAAAGGGCTGGATACATACATATTTTTTTGTTTATTAATTATTACGTAAAATTATTCGTAGTCAACATTCACATCTTATTTGGATTTGTACATAAATTAAAGTAAAGAGAAAACATATAATTACATAAGTTATACATATATATAATTAATTGAAAATTAAAACATTAATTATAAAGAAAAAAATGTATTCTTATTATATGATTATAATATTAATTGTTTCTATAGACTACTATTTAAATATCGCAAAGTTTAAGTAGCGAAAGTAGCATATTATATGTGAAAAGTTTATTCTTTTAACTTCATTATTATGTTGATGAAGTTGAGCCCTTCAAAGTACACATTTACAGCGCTTTAATTTTATAGGTACCTTTGGAATGGGAAAATTCTGATAATTTCGTCATGTCCGTCTGTCCGTATGCCATAGTTAACTGTCTCCGTGATCTAGTGGCTAGTATCTATGGCGACAAAGCCATAATCCTTGGTTCGGACTAAGTTTAGTTGTTAAGTTTTCTATTAAGGCATTCTCAGTAGCAGCGCGGAGTAGGGAAGTTGGCAGTGTTACACTTCCGTAGTACGGACAGCACGTAAAGTCATCGGTCCTGCTTCATAACTCTCACTGATCGCGTCGAAATATCGTCCCATCGGACTTTGAGAGTGAAAAAGAAAAGAGAGTGCATTTGTGTATTATAATGTCTCCTGCGCAGTTAGCTAGTCTTAGTGAGATTGGCCGCTGTGGCCGAAATCTGACAGGAGGACTGATGATGTGACATGATTGTCACAGTTACTCGTATATTACTCAAAGACTGTGGGAGCTGAGATTTGATAATTAAGTGTCTTATGTATATCGTTAAATAATTCCGTAGTCAAATTACAAAAAAAAAACAAAAAGGAACTAGGCACTGAGAATGATGATTGAATTGTGGGGTATAAAAAAAATTAAGCTGGTGGGGTATCTAGAGGCCTTTAAAATTAATATGAATGATGTTTCTTAAAATTTGTACGTAAATCTGTAGATGTCCTGAATTTGATAAATATAGTATTTTATCAAGCAAATCAAAACACTTTTTTTATTAATGCACTAAAAAGCCAGCCAAGTCTGAAGATATTTTTGATTTTTTACATCATTTTTACATATAAAAGCTATATACTTTTTTGATGCATAATATCTAACGTAGTATTTATTTATCTCTTTTGTTTTTGACCAACTTCTAAGAGGAGTAAACGTAAGGAGGTAAAAGTTCCAAATATTCGAATTTTTTAGTTGTTTATAGGTGTAATACCAGCTTACATACCAAATACTAGCTTACACACCACTAATACTAGCTTACATACCAAATTTTAGCTTTCTAGGCCTTCAGGAAGTAGTCTAAGAATTGTGATGATCATCAGTGAGTCAGTGACGAAATCGGAGTTTTTTAGATATCAATAAAATATAAAGTAATTTTTAATAAGTCTACTATTGATATTATATTCCGAAAATTTTGTTTATCTGGTTTAATAAAAACCTAACTTATGAGGGTTCAAAAAAGCGACGAAGCGCTTCGAGAAAAGGTAGTTAGTGCCCTTGCGCTTCGCTTTGTTCGTCTTGGCTTGGATTAAGAATTTAATAAAACTTAAAAATACAAAATCATAAATGACTCAACTTTAGAGCATAGTATAACCGTACAAAGTAATATCCTTTTATCTTTGAAATACAGTGTTTTCATAGTAAACCATAATTAAATTATATACTTACTGTGTCAACCGACATAATTCTTCAGGTAGTTCAGTGATCTTATTATTGCTGATGTCTAGGTGTGTGAGGGTGTTCAAGGCACAGGCTTGTGAAGGCACCGCGGGTAGCGCGTTACCGCGCAAGCGCAGTACACGCACTGCAAAACCGTCCGACGCATGTTGAGTTAGAGCCGTAGACAGATGCGAGCGACTACCACTACTGAGGTCTAGCACGTTTGGTGGCTGAGTGCTTTGTGTGCCCTAAACAAATAGATAACAGTTTAACTATAGTTCTGATTAATTCGATTGGTACGACAGTAAAACAGAATGGCATTCTCACAAAAACTCTCTACCCACTTGTGAAAGTCTTGTTAAAATCCGTTCTTCCATTTCTGAGATTAACGGGTACAAATATTTCGATCTTCTTGTCGAATGTTTGTTTGGGCTTCGATATTATGCAATTATGCATAATGGCAATGCAAGGTATACATTTTAGTAGTAATAGATTCAAGATGAAAGATATAATATAAATTATATTTTTAATTTAGTCTAATTATTTATATAAACTTGTAATGTTTATCTGTTGAAAGTAGCTTTATCTGTTTGTAACAAACTTTCCATAATTAAAGCGTTGAACTGATGTCGATAAAATTTGGCAAGGACATAGATTTTATTTTGGAGATGCACAAAGACAAGAATTTTTATTCACGCCCACTTACCACGTGAGCAGAGTCTCACGCAAATACTAGTGATTTCTATTTATGTAAATTTATAAACTCTCAAAAATCGGCTTGTGCGTGCTAAACTCGCCAGCTAAGTGTTCGCATCACCACACAATATTTTTGTTTTATTTACAATTAAAATAGAGCTATAATAAACATATTACATTCATATTTCATAATAGTAAATTGATACTTCTAGTGCGAGTGAGACACACACTTGGCCAGGTTTTATGGATAGTAAAAATAATAAGTTAAAGTAGGTAAGTTTCTTGCACAGGCCCACAATTTTGTAAAAGTTTGAGGAGGTCCAAATAATAAACCCTTTTAAAGACAGGACGATGGATTGTACCTTTATTGTATAGCAAAACTATTATAGTAAATATAAAATATATATAGTATTGTATAAGCTTTCAGCGAGGTTTGTTAAATAATAGTTTAACGAAAATGCGATAGAATAACGATAATAAATAAATATGTCTAATTCTATAAATAATTAAACGCTATAACGTAAAAAATAATAATTTAGTCAATGTATAGCAGTAATAAGAACTTTCTCTACCTCTGACGCAAGATTTTGGGGATTCCATAGAATACAATTAAACAGATACATTCCAAGAGCCTTCAAATGAGTCTCATAATTAATAAAAGTTCAACTACGCAAAGTGTAAAAGTCATAAAATTACAATAATATTCGCAAACGTACCGAATTTTCACATTTTTCTCTTAATGCTGTATATTCTAGACTGTCCAGAAACACACTGTCATTACTATGTTGTGTAAACACATCCAAACTATCGATCTCCTCCTCTTCACACTTCATTATATTATTTTCAACCATTCCAGATATTACAAATGCGTTACACAGTTCTAGTATTCACAATACTTATCTATTTTTCTCGCAAGAAAATTATTATTCGTAAAACGAATTAAACTAAGATTCTACACTTGTAACATTAAAACCCTATATTACCACAGGGGCCGACGAACCCGTGTAAAGCTATGCTTATAGACTTCGAAACAATTTAAACTCAAATCGTTATTCCGGTCACGAGTATGTTTTCTTGATAAGCGACATTTAAGTGTCCTTGCTCACCTCCTTTGGCAATATACCTGAACTTAACACTTGAAACTTTGGATCACAGATTATATTACACTTTATATTTCTTTTTTTTAGTATTATTATGTTTTATCTTTTTAATAAATGTATGGCAGTATCGACAATTTTCTTATGTCACAATAAAACGCGTCAAAGTAAACGCTCAGTACAGTTTTGACTGACTGAGACGCACACCCGCCAACCATTCGGGATATGTCGAGCGTAACCACTGCTGCAGGGCGTAGCATGCATTTTCTAATTAATACAGTAAATTTTTAAAAAAATTTAAATACTCGCATATTTTTAATTATGCTACACTAATTTAATTAAGCTTTTCAATATTTATTTGATGATATAATTTTTATAGTTATATAAAATGTTATTCATATTTATGAAAAGAAACGATAAATCTACTCGTATAAAGTATTATTTAAGCTTAATGAATATTATTTTAATGGCATATAAAATATTCATTACATCTCAAACAATATACATATATTAAAATAATTCAAACGTACTAATAAATTTTTTATTTTAATTAAAAATATATTTCTAGAAAAACACAACCCTAAATCCAATAAAAATTATACATTGAAATGTCAAAAAGTTGGTCTAACTGAGCAGATTTCTAGCAATTTGCCGCTGTTGTGGACGGATCGTTAGTTTGCGAAGTGTACCGGAATCGATTCCCAATCTTGAAGCCTACCTATCCTAGAGAATGAATAGGTAATTTATAATAAAATCAACAGTGCGCTATTGTAATAAAATATACTTCATTCTAAAGCATTGACATTATGTTTACTGTTCACGAAGTCGTATACTTATTTACCTGTTCAGTATCCACGCTCTTAGAAAATATAGCGCATTTATAAGTATAAAAAAATTGTTATAGTAATAAAAATCGACGAACCTCGTTCAACCAGAAAAACCACATGTTTCGTTCCCATACAGTGTTGAAGCCGAGGAATAAGTGGTTGATACCAGAGTCGACTAAGCCTGGACAACGCGGCTTCACGCAGATCACCAGTTTTTGCGCTTTCGGCTGACAGAGCTCTATTCTGCCACCACTCAACTCTAGCACATCCCAAGAAACACCTTGAATGAAATTGATGAATTGATTAAATGAAAAATTTTAAATCAGAAGATATCAGTTATATTTATTAATTAGCTGTATTTTATTAAATAACTGTTATAATTATTGAATACCTAAATTATAAGAAATTAAGTTATATTTATTAAATAACCATTATATCTATTTAAAAAAACAACTTAAAATTACATATCAATTTAGCCTTTTATTATGTAAAAAAAACTTATGTCATACCTCAGTATGACTTAAGAGGTACGGTAAGTCATTGTTGACAACTTTTACTTTCTAGCAATATGATTAGCTTACCATATGTATGTAGTTGCGATCCAATAACATGAGCAAGCCGCGGCTTCCATTGTGGAAAGACGTGGCCTTTCAGTACAAACACAGTGCCTGAACGTAATACACCACCGGACCTGCTTGCAGGACCTGTGCACCAGCGTAGAGAATGTCGTAACTCGGGATCCACTGCAAGTCTTAAGCGTCTAGCTTCAGATGTCCATCCATTCTTTGCTAGGAAATCATCTTGAATTTTCAATGGAAATTCATTTAAGTCCATACGTCTAGAATTTTCTCCTCCAATCTGGATCCACAGAGTTAATTCTTCATTAAGTCCCAATTTCTTATTAACATCTTCGGCTGTGGTGTACTGAGATACCTTGATGAGTTTGCTGGGTGCATCGACGGCGAAAGGCTCAAGGCCGTCAAAAACGCGTATCCAGGAGAATTCAGAGCGAGGTTTGAAGCCTCGTGTAGAAGCGAGACGGCGCAAAGACTTGCGGGGATGCGATGGTGCATGTAAGCCATCGTCACACACCATGGCGGCAGATGGACGCGAGGTGCGGAGGCCGACGCCGCAATGCCCGTGCGCACGCAGTACGCTCTTGCATTACATTTGGGTCGATGGTGGGGGTGGGAAACATGTCGCTCGGTCAGTCGGGAATACGACATGCAAATGCTAATTTGAATCCCCATAAGTAAATGTAATATACCATAATATGTAACATTCTTAAACACTCAATTATGTTCCCTTAAAATGTTTGTTAGTAAAATTATTCGAATTTATTTAATGTTTATTTGATAATATATATTTTCTTTTCAAATAAAATAAAGAAAGAGAGCAGCGAACGTAATATTTGGTTCCGCGCTAGCAGTCACCCCACCTGCTGACTCACCTGTTGTGTTCGAGGACCATGGGCCCTTCATATAGAGAACTTGTCATGTTAAACGTTTCAAGATGCTTTATTAAAAATATATATTAAAATCGTAAAAGTAGTTAGTAGTAGTTAAAAGTATAAAATCTGAATATCAGAACTACGAAATGTATGCATCGTTGAATTATTATCATTGGCAGTTATCTGCAATATGCGCGAGCAAACGGTACTCTCACAGCTTTTTATACATATATTTGAATAGATTAATCTGTTTTTTAAACTTTAGTTAGCTTTATTATATATTTTTTATGTTACAAATTGTCAATGTCCTAAATAATAATACCTACTAAAAAAAGGCTTGATATTTACATATAATGTATATTCAAACATATTAAAGAAACAAATATGTAATGGAATATAAACAAGAAATAACGTTGTTTTTATTGCGATTAAGTATATTTACAATTTTATAGAATATAAATTACATTAATAATATTATGTATTATAGGATCTACCAAGGATAGTTCTTATGTATTCTTCCAGTGCACGCGCAAGTAGCGTTGCATTTGCCTTGTGTGCAAACATCGACTTGTTTCGACAACTCTTCGCAGTTGGAGTAGAAATCTTTTACAGGACAAGAATTAGTACACAAGGAGTCTGACAAGCAACTATCTGGGCAGTCTCCACACTTAGGGCCGGCTTTATAGGGGTAGTGCGTAATGGTGTCGTAGTTCCCGCTGAAAATGTGAATTGTCAAAATAATTTTTCAATATTATAGATTAAACGTCGCCTTAGTGCTTATTTGTTCAAAGTATCACTTGTAGTAACTTTACAGTAGACAGTTATCTTCCTCAATTTAAAAACACAACTTCAATTCTAAGATTTATATACTACTAGCAGAACCCGCGGCTACGATCGCGCTAAAACTACAAAAAAATCTGTATAAAAAGTAGGTTTAATATAAACTTTCATCTCTTATTTTACCCCCTTATAGCATGAATTTCGAAAAATGCTAAAACACGTATTTATATAATTATATTGAAGAGCATTAATACCTAGTTTCAAGTAATTCTGATCATACATATTTTTTGGGTTGTATTATAACGTATTTTCCCGTGGGAATGAGATGATCTCCCGTAATAAAAGGTAGCCAATGTCACTCTCCAGCTCTCCAACTATCTTCACACCAAAAACCATGCCAATCCGTCACTCCGATTCGACGTGAAAGAAAGACAAACACGCACACAAACAAACAAACACACTTTCACATTTATAATATTAGTATGGATATACACATATATGTAGATAAAATACATCTTTTCTGTTTTTAAAATAAATATACCAATAGAATTGTAAAAAGTTAATAATTCTGTATTAAAATTCCTTGGTGTATTGGTCGTTTGGACTATTAAGAACTGAAACGAGGTAGTCTATATACGGTTACATAATACATAATACTAGCATTGCCCGCGGCTCCGCCCGCGTTCAGATGACCAAAAAGCAATTTCTTAGGTTTTACATATTAGTATACTCTTACAATACATTTTTAGTATTTTTTCTCAGAAATGAGATATTTTCCCGCGGTAAAAAGTATCTTATGCATTTACTCGGATAACCGGCTATCAATCACCATACCAAATTTCATAAAAAATCCCTCCAGTGGTTTTTCTGTGATGCGGTAACAGACAGATAGACAAAAAATCTAAAAACTATAGATTCGGCCTATGTATCGATAATAATGTTTATTTCAATAAGATTTTCTAAAAAATATTTAATGTACAGATTCGGCTTAGTTACAATTTTATTATATGTATAGATTAATTAATACTGAAAAAGGTTATATTATGTAAACTAGCAAACTGCAACACTACGTGGAGTTGGAGTATTTAGTAATGATTCCACGGCATGCTACCGCGGATCACAAAATATATATTCATAATTACCACTAAATACTACAAACATAACGAACTATCATAAAAATCTTATCTCCTATCAGTAAGAAAATGCTGGGCTAAAGTTTATAAAGAACTCTTTATATAAAGAAACTTCTTTATATGGGTAAAATGTCATATAGGTACCTAGACTCACCCTTAAAGGCAGTTCTTAGTGTGTTTTGCACTAAATGTTACATGTTACATGTATATAGAAAAATTATCACTTAGGTACTGAATAATAACAGTGCAATTATCATGCTACTCGTACTTGACTAAATTATTTAAAATACATAGGACATTATTACCATCTAATTATATTGATTAGCAATTACATATGTTTATACTAGCGACTCACCCTCGCTTCGCTCGGTTTCATCCCTAGGTACCTTTTAATGGTTAGTATGGGATAGAGAGACGTAAAATAAACAGTTCTAACTTTTCGATTTTCCAGCTGCTTTTTTAGGTTTTCCCTATTTTTTTATATTTAAACCACCCCTCCTGACACACCCCCAACAAAAAAGTATTCAAATCGGTCCAGCCGTTCTTGAGTTTTAACGAGACTAACAAACGACAGTTGATTTTTATATTTGAATACAGATTAATTACAAAGCTATTTAATTTACTTAGGCGTTCATAAATTATTTAGAAACAACTATGAAAAAAATTAAAGAAAAATTAAGTATTTGAAATTTTATATATTTTTAAAATACTACTTAAAGGTTTATCAAAGTAAGAGCATAGTACCTATACAGAATTATCGTTCATCTTCATAACAATGGCTGCATCGAGGTAAGGGAATTAAAATACCTACTGAAAAAACATATACCTACAAAGGATTTATATTTAAAAATATAAATAAGTAATTTATATATGAGTATTATCTGTATATAAATAAAGAAAAATATCTTTCTTTGTTTAAATATTTCATTTAACTTTACTAATTAAGATTTCAGATAAGTAAAACGTATATCTGATAATAAATTACCGTGGACGGTGAGAACCTTTACAAAAAAGCACAAGGGATAAAATACAAAAATCATTCTATTTTCAAAATGAATTTACGTTTTATTTAGGACCTGTGTAAATGAAACATGTCGAGTATCTCCCGTATGTTTGCTGCAAAGCATTCGAAAAGTCGGGAACCGACAACTAAAATAAATTCGCGAAAATAACCGAAAAGATAGTTTTATGTAAAGTCAAATATTTCGCGTACTTCTAACGAAGTATTATAATTTATAGGACATGCTTTATTAAACTCATAAAACATATTACAGTATAATTGTCCAGTGTCTAGTAAGTTTCTTTACATACCGTATCATATATAAAAACTTTTTAAAAAAAAACTAAAAACCGACTTCAAACTAAAGCACTAAAAAGTAAAAAATAAGTGATTGGTAGTTTTCATTTACTATACATACCTAATCAAATATTTTCGAAGTCGGCATGCTTTGCTTTGTATCGGCTGGCACAACTTTGACTTTCAAACAAAATAAACATTGTCCAAATCGGTTAATAAATGACGGAGTTCTGAGGTAACAAACATAAAAAAATACACAGCCGAATTGAGAACCTCCTCCTTTTTGAGGAAGTCGGTTGAAAATTAAAAAAAGCAGTCATGAGGATTGCCGACAGAAGTGAAAACTTAAAACTATAAACAAACAGTTGTAATTATTTCAAATTAATTGTTTGTTCTTAAATTAAAATTTGTAAATTAAAACTGTTTACATTTATCTGGTTTTAACATCTATCGGCACTCTGAGTGTTAGCGTTAAAGCGTCACGTGACCATGTCGACGACCACTTACATGAATTTTCTCCCCATCCAAACCTGCCTTTAGAAGTTTTCACTTCAAAAATCTTTAGAACTTCTACAATTGTACCTACCTAAAGTAAATTATCGCAGGTAGATCATATCACGTATTATCTAAGGTTACAAGAACAATGTAATGACCTAGACGTGATGTTTGCCGTAAGCTCATATTATAGTAGGAGAATTCTAATTACTAAAAATAAAACTTAATGTTAAAACTGCAATAAGTATGCACGTATAAAGCTTAAATTTATTGTTATTACGAATCCTGCAAAATAAGCAATTTTTTTAAATTATACTAAAATTTAATATATGTCTATTTTAATATTATACAACATTTTGATAATGTTTTTTTAATGTTTTTAAAATTATTCTAGACCACGTTCTATCTGGTAGATAGATATAAACTTCAATATCAAATAGACGATGCAAAACAGGTGCTCACTGTTGACCGCAGATATTAAATACTTACTCGTAGGTATATTTTAATGTTAGCCATTTGTATTCTTGTATCTAAGAACGAATTAAATGTAAATGTAGAATATTTGAACGAGATATGCCATATACACTAGCTACGTTCGTTAATAGGTACCCACACTGTAATAAGTATTACCTACCTAAGTATTTTCTGTTCATGGGAATGTAATAATACCTAGTATGAACATTTAAATAATGTCAAAAACACTCTGTGAATATTTAGAAGTATGGAAGTATAGGAACTGAAGTAAAACATAACTATGAGACATATCTACATAATCTAATAAAAAATTTCTTAAAATGTTTGAATGGTTTCAAGTTAATGTTATTTTTAAAGCGAATATTTCATAGATATTTTATGAGTTTAGTTTAGTAGTTTAATTTATAGTCATTTAAAATTGCAATTAAACTTTGTTCATAACAACTTTATATAATCTATACTAATATTATAAATAGGAAAGATTCGATTTTTTGTTTGTTTGTACCGAACAGGCTCCGAAACTACTGAGCCGATTTAAATGAAATTTGGTAAGAAGATAGTTTGAGATCCTATATTGACTCAGGATAGTTTTAATCTTGGAAATTATCCCTTAAGGGGAGAAAATGGGGATGAAATTTTGTATGGGGTATGAACCCGAGCGAAGCGAGGGTGAATCGCTAGCATTAAATATTTTTATTGCTACAGAACATTGAAATATTGAAAATTGAGAATTTCAATGGCAAATGTATGTAAAGGAAAAGAAATAACAATACTTACGCAGGGCAATAATGACAGACATAGTTGTAAAACTGTCCCCAAGGCCCTCCGGAGCAACGAGCCACACCGCAGCCCACCTTGTGGCTTGTTGCCCATACCATCTGAGTGTAGTGCCCCACTGCCTTGAGATTTGTTATCGGCGTTCCGTATGTAAAATTTCGGTACTCGAGGAACCAGTTTTTAAGTGCGAAGAACCTGAAAATATCATATGGTTTTATATTATTTTAAAAAAGTAGATTTCACCAACATTAACGGTCCTGGACAGCAGTACTAATTTTCCAGACTTACCCAGACTTTTCCAACCTTTCTCAGACAATTATCGTAATAACAACACAAAACACGGATAAACTCAAAACCTTCTGGACTGATTTAGATGAAATTTGGTAAGAATATAGTTAGAGATCCTGGAAAGGACAAAAAATATTTTTTATTCCGGAAATTATCCCTTAAACGGGTGAAATTGGGAATGAAAGTTTGTATGGGGAATCAACCTAGGTTATAAACAAAACAATCATATCATTCGTCCTTAGGGACGATGATGGTTTTGTTTAAAACACTCATTATCAAATGATTTGCTATCGATGTTACATTATTATTTCATCCTCGTATTTATTATATAAGGCAGAACTTCTCAAAGTGCTTATATGAGAACTAATTTTTAATAAATCTCATAATTAATGAATGAGATTAACAATACTTAGTAATCAAAGGCCAAAAATTTTCTTGCTATTTCTATATGGATTACTACGAAAGGCAAGTTTGAGAAAGTCTGCATCTTGTGATATGTGGTATTAAACTAAGGACTCAATAACTTATGATTTTTTGTAATGTGTCATAGTACCATACTCGCTTCTTGTTAACACTAATATCAAGGCAAATTTTGATATTTCCTTGTGGATAGATCCCATATCACACTATCTAAGGGACAATTTTTATATCCCCAGGTAAATCCCCGCTTAGTTGAATGTAGCTCAAGCCAGTTTCTCATATTTAAATAAATCCAAACTAATATTATAAATGTGAAATTGTGTTTGTCTGTCTGTCTGTCCGTCCGTTCGTCCGTCCGTCTCTTTGTTTGTTTGTTTGTGTGTTTGTTTGTTATAATTAACGGTTTGTTTAATAGGTAGTCTATTTGTTTGTCCTTCTATCACATGAAAACAGAGTGACGGATTAGCGTAATTTTTTGTGTAGAGATAGTTAGAAGGCTGGAGAATGACATCAACTAGTTTTTACGCAGGTGATTATCGTTATGTTATGATAATCGTGGGAAAACACGTTATAATATAAACCATATATATACATATATATATATATGTATGGGTGATTCTACAAAAAATGGGTAACTCGAGGTCACCAGTCAATAAAATGATGTATTATTACATTTTGTTTATAATTTATAATTAATTCTAAAACAATTAAAAGCCATTTATTTGGTCACCCAATTTCAGCCATCCATTATAAATACAAATTTGTGAAACTTCACAATATATCCTCAAAACGTCAGTACTTTGGCGTGTCACAACGTCAAAAGCGCGCAATCAAATAGCTGTGTATTAAATATTACCTTTAATATAATAAAATTTATTATTTTACTATAATCTGTGATGTATTTAATAATATATGATCACAACTTTATATTATAATATTTTCAACTTTGTTGTAAAAATAATAAGAAACTTTGTGTTCAGTTTTATTCGTCAGTCCGTTGTGTGTTGTTCGAATTTGAATATCTCGTTAAATACCGGCGACTCGAATCCAAATCCGCGTTAAACTTTAAGGTTGGTAATAAAGTTAGCTGCAGACCGCGCCATTGTTCGGCCGTCATTTTTGTGCCGGTGCTAGAGTTGTGTTTGTCGTGTGAACACGTGCCGAGCCAGACAAAATGTCAGTCCTATGGTGAGTCGCTATTTTTTTGTAAATTTGTGTTATATTTTAATTTAAACATACTTAACTTTGATTTGTTAAAATTTAACTCATTGATATTCGAAAATATCAAAAAAAAAACGTTGGTTCTAAAGATAACGTCAAATTCATGTTTGTTTCGTCAGTCCGTTGTCATCAGTCCGTTGTCTGATATTGCGCCAAAGGACAGACGTGTTTCCAGGGTACTAACTTGTTGGGCGTGTTTAATCATTTTTTTTAATAATTTTAGTTTATAACATCATGGCTCCATAAAAACAAACAAAATATGTCTAAGGATAGAGATGAAATATTGAAAAAGAAAATAAAGAAGAGAAATTAATTAGCTGAATATAAAAAGAAAAAAAAGGTTGCAATGCTTAAAAAAGAAAGGAAAGGGACAAAGAAAAATATTAAGGACATGACGCCTCGGGAGCAACGATTGACAAGAAAAGAATGGAAAAAATATTCATTAAAGTACAGGCAAAAAAAAACAACTCTACTACAGATAATTTTGTACACCAGAATACTCCTTCAACTATTGACGATGAAGCATAACCAATAGTTGTTGAGCTAATAAGGCCCATTGTGAACGAAGATCAAAGAGCAAAGAAGCAAAGAGGAGAAGTGAAAGACAGAGAAAATGCAGAAATAAGCAATTAAAAGAGATGAAAGCAATGGTTTCAAAACTAAAAACTAAACTAAACAATCAGCGTCAAAAACATGGAAGAGTCAAAAGGGTCAGCTTACATTCTCAATCATCTTACAACGAAGTCACTAAGTTGTTTCTGCGACGCTGACGCATGCGAAGCTAGGATCTATTCATTATCAGACAGAGATGGTGGCACACCATGATACACGTATAAATACTTCAATCGTATTTACAGACTCTGAAGATGATGATATGCCACCAAAATATTTTTTTTAATTGTTACTTAAGTGAATTAAGATTAAAAGTGAGACTCAAAATATGTGCCATTATTAGTTCCTAAGAGATTTCTTCTAAATTTTAATAAATTTCTTGCATATCTTATGAAATTGTGTATTTCATCAGTACTTTGTCACTCACGTCAGTCCCCTGGTTTCGGAATTCGGATAAATCGAAATATCTCCGAATCTACTTTAAAAAGTGACTGGCCCTATCATGAGCATTATTTTCATTAGATTAGCTACCTTATAAGCAGAATTCGTAGGAATTTGATTTAAAAACTATCATAAACAAAATATCCTGAAAAGTCACCCAACTTTTGTATATCCGCCCATATATATATATATATATATATATATATATATATATATATATATAATCAGAATTACTCGAAACTTGGTATTAATGCTTTTCAATACAATTAAATAAATAAATAAATGTTTTAGTATTTTTCGAAATTCATCCCATAAGAGGGTAAAATAGGGGATGAAAGTTTGTATGAAACCAACAATTTCAGAGGCTTTTGTTTTTAGTTTAAGCGCGAGCGAAGCTACGGGTTCTGCTAAGGTATTTCATATGAGTAGATTTTAGTCATAAGCATTGCTTTACTAAATACTATATTATATAAAAATAAATAAACAAAAAGTAAAACACTGTTTCTTAAAAGCCGCATTGAATTCATTGTACACTAGGGACTCACCCTCGCTTCGCTAGGGTTTCGGGATAAAAAGTATCCTATGTCCTTCCCAGGGTCTCAAACTATCTTTTTACCAAATTTCATTTAAATTGGTGCAGTAGATTCAGGTCACCCTCTACAACGTCACGAACTCACAAACCCATAAACTCACAAACTTTACCTCTTTATAATATTAGTATAGATAAATAAAATGTTTTCTTTTTTGTTTATCTGTAAGTTTTGTGCGTTTTTTATCTTTTATTATGTTTGCCTTTTATTTTATGTTGCGGCGAAACATACATTATAAGAAAGCTTAGTGTTTTGAGATTTCTAAGAAACTCCTTTGTACAATATCACAATGTGAATAACATGAATAAATAATGTACCATCGCTACATTCACTAGCAAACTGCTAAAACAAACCGTCTGATACAAACCATGTATATGGAACTCAATGTCCATTGTTATTAGGAACAATAATAAGTTTTCCGAAAATAGAACATATTCATTTATACTCGTAGTTAGTTCGGTAAAAAAAAAAGGTTACATACAGAAATCTATAACATAAAAATGAATCGCTGAATGTGTTGGTAAGCGCAAATCTCGAGAGCAGCTGAACCGATTTCGCTAATTCTTTTTTTAGAATATTCCTTGAAGTATAAGGATGGTTCTTACGAAGAGAAAAATTTAGAAATTGCCTGAAAATGTCTAAAAGCAACACTTTTCTATACTCCCATACAAAAGATTCGTAATAATACTTAAAAGTCAATTTGAACTTTAATACCATACCATAAAGTTTAAGTGTTAGTGGAGAGGTTCCGGGAAGGCAAAACAATTGAGTGACGTTAGTATCGTATAAATATTAATGTCAATATTTGTCAATATTATTAACAAAAAAAATTAACGCTGGCTAATAACTATTTATATCTATTTAAAACGTACCTAGCGACGAACACGAGAGAAGCGAGGGTGAGCCGCTAGTATTTTTATAAAAACTTATGCGTATATTTTCATTCATTCATTTCATATTGTTTTTTCCAATAAGATTCAAATCATATTTATGTCTTTTATTACACAACTGTGATTTTAAGATTAATTTATCATGTAATATCTAGTTTAATTGATCTGTGCATAAACTAGCATCTTATTAAATCTGTCCATTTTAAAAAATTACTCATAAAACTATAAAATAATTAAAAAACGATAAAATAATGATATATTATCTATAAAAAATATATATAGTTAATACCTACTTTATAGTCAGAAACTTTATAGAAAAACATTCGTATTCCTGTACTTGACTTGTGTTTTTTATCTTTGTATGAGCACGTCTTTTAGATTTTATTACAATATTAGCATTGCCCGCGGCCTCGCCCGCGTTCAGATGACCAAAAACCAAATTCTTAGGTTTTACATATTAGTATACTCTTAGAATGCAGTTTTTGTATTTTTTCTCAGAAATTAGATATTTTCCCGCGGTAAAAAGTATCCTATATGTTGACCCGGATATCCAGCAGACAGACAGACAGACAGACAGACAAAAATTCTAAAAACTATAGTTTCGGTCTCTGTATCGATAATAATGTCTATTTCTATAAGATTTTCCAAAAAATATTTAATGTACAGATTAGACTTACTTACAATTTTATTATATGTATAGATTACGTAGCATTGTAATATAAGCTGGTGGTCAGACCAAACTGGACCTACGAGAAGTTGTTTACTTTAAAGTACTAACAGCGTTAAAGCATCAAATCTTATAAACATTATTGTAAATGAGAAGTACTACAAAGGGTATTATGTAATTATCGCCATGTCAGTCTGTGAAATCTTTAATTAGATGTTCACGAATTCCCTATTATCTTTATAGTAAGGTTAAAAGATCGTGCGCAAACAAAATACATACAATAAATGGACAAGGAACAAAAAATCTTAGTAAAAACTCACCTAATATATGTACTTATATATACCTAATATACTCTTATATTAAAAATGTACATTTTCAAATATTCTTAAGAGTATTTAGTATATTCCTGACTATAAATAATATACTGCGTAACTCATTTTTGTTGACAAAAGGTTTGATTGAGTTTAAAAAATAATATCTTGTATCGTTATTGAAAAACGCGTTTGTCTAACATGATTAAAACTAATATTCACATATAAATTACTGGTAACAGAAGGTATTTTAGTTACTAACCATGGAGTCTTTTGCGATGCTACAAAGAGGTTTTGCCCACAACTTCCTAGATAAGGCACAGTATTCTCACGGGGATCATTGTGAGTCAGAAAAATGCACTTTTCTGCGTACCTTTGAGCTTGCTCAGCAGCAAGAGGGTGCCATGACTGCAAGAATTTTTATATGATTCTTAATGATTTTCCATTTGTAAATGGAAATTGAATACATATTTACATACGAAATAAAAGCTCAATTGAATTAATTCATGTTCTCTAATCTTTCAGGCCAATAATTTTTTTTATTTCTTCATAGCTTGGCTATTAATCCTTAATGCCTAAATGATTGTGGAAATATTATTAATCAAATTAAGTACTAATCTTAAACCGAAATAGTTTTTTGTATTCAGTTTTTTTTTATAATTCTGTATCCCACTTAAGATTTAATAAATATTTAAACTTCACAAAACTATTCAAATACCCAATAATTTAAATTATTATAAAGTATTCTTTCCTACTTTTTTTTAAATATACAAAATTTTAATTATATAACATTAAAAGAAAATAATTTTAAACTAAAGCTAAACTCTACCTTACGGCTAAATAAGGCCAAAAAATAATAATAGTTTAAAAAAATATTTCCTAAATCTTAAAAAACTCGTTTTTACATACCATTAAAAGCATATTTGAAGCTGTAGGACGAACTTTTGTACGAAAAAAGTTATGATACAATACAATTTTACGTCTTACTACTGATCTACGAGGACTTAAACCATTTTCAGGAATTTGATTTGCTGGATAAAGCTCTGCAAAAAATAAAAAATAATCACATTTTCTATTAACCAACCAACTGAAAAAAGAAATGATTCGTTTAAAACTTACGTTTTTGTCCCCAAGGTTTTACTGTTTGAAGTTCTATTATGTTAAATAAAAAAAATAAAGTCACCCAAAACAATGTTCCTGAAATCATTTTTACTTCCAACTGACCAGATCTAGAACAAATTAAACTTATAGATAAATTAAAAAAAATCTCAATAGATTTTCAAATATGAAACCTTTTAACATGAAAAACTTAGACATATTTTTGTGGAAGCAAATTAGAAAATTTAAAAAAAAACGTAAATACTATTACCATTTTTTTAAATATGATCATTAAATATGAAGCCTCACAGGAAAATGATAATAAAATGCCCAAGTCTTTCAGTTAATAATATATCTACAGAACTCTCGTCAAGTTGCATTTTCTTACAAATTTTTAAATAATTTACAATGTTACTAATTATTTCGAAGTGTCTATAAGAGTTTTATGTCAACTTAAAAGTGCTGAAACAATCTTCTTTGAATAAATAATTATAAATCAATAGTAATATCTGATTTCATTCTTATAGAGTATTTTATAAATTACTATTCGCGGTAAAGCTCTATAAAGAGGAAATCGGAGCGAATCACGGTCTTTACAGTTTACTTCCCACAGTATTTTGACCTTAAACGTCAATAACTTTATAATAATAAAATAGTAGCCACATACAATGGCCAATTTAAAAAAAGATATGTTAACAAGCGAAAAAACAGATTCTATACGATAGCTTCATTTATATCCTATTATTTGTACACGCAAAATATTTCCTCTTTCTAAATAAAAATGTTCGAGCATCAGCCTGATTCAATTATTTCGTAATTGAAAAGCTACCGTTGTAATCTTATTAAGGCATATGAAGTTCGAATTTTTTTTAATTTAGTTAAGCTTTAATAAATACAAACATACATAAAACAAAGTCGGGTTTGTTACAACATTTATAATTCGAAAACTACTGGACCAATCTTCATGGTTTTTAAATTGTTAGATTTGTCTTTGCCCCGAATAGCAGAATAACTGTTAAACATCATAAAAATTAAAAAAATGGCTACGCAACGCAACGCTAATAACTATTTATATCTTTTTAAAACGTACCGAGGGACGAACCCGAGCGAAGCGAGGTAGAGTCGCTAGTTAATGTTAAAATTATCAATTAAAAACATATTATTCAAATATTTTGAACCACTTCTAAGTTACATGTAAATTAGGCTTCATATGGAAGTTTTATTTTAAGTACGATGTATAAAGATCTTACAAAATCTGTACATAATATAATAAAATTCTGACTGAGTCGAGTCTGTAGGTACATTAAATATTTTTTGGAAAATCTTATTGAAATAGTCATTGTTATCGATACAGAGGCCGAATCTATAGTTTTTAGAATTTTTGTCTGTCTGTCTATCTGTCTTTCTGTCTGGGAACACAACACGAGAAAACCACTGAACAGATTTTGATGACATTTGGTATGATGGTAGCTGGTTATCCGGGTCAACATATAGGGATACTCTTTACTGGAAAAATATCTCATCTCTGAGAAATCTATATTAACCACTAAAACGTACCTAGGGGCGAAGCCGAGCGGAGCGAGGGTGAATCGCTAGTCCTATATAAAAATAATGATACACATAGAATATATAATTAAATAACTAATAATAATCTAACTCTATAATTCTGTAATATGTGTTTACTACAAGTACTATCAGCTGATTTTGTGTCACAGTGCACGCACTTAGCATATTAATAAACAAAAATTTAACTTAGTTGTTTTATTTAAAACATATTTTTAAATAAAACAATTTGATACATACATAGTACATATCAAACCAACAAATAAATTGCTACTTAACAGTCATAATATAGAGTTTAATATTAATAAGATCTTTTATATTAATAAGACATTGAAGGGTAATAAAAAGTAGAAACAAAATAATCTACACATATAATAAAATTGTAACTAAACCGAATCTGTACATTAGTTATTTTTTGGAAAATCGTATTGAAACAAACATTATTATCGATACAAAGGCCAAATCTATAGTTTTTAGATTTTTTGTCTGTCTGTCTGTCGGTCTATCTGTCCGTTACTGCATCACAGAAATACCACTAGAGGGATTTTTATGAAATTTGGTATGGTGATAGCTGGTTGTCCGGGTCAACATATAGGATACTTTTTACCGCGGGAAATATCTCATTTCTGAGAAAAAATACAAAAACTGCATTGTAAGAGTATACTAATATGTAAAACCTAAGAGGCCTTTTGGACATCTAAACGCGGGCGAAGCCGCGGGCAATGCTAGTATATGAATAATTTAGAAATAAATAAATCTTACCTTTATTTTTGAAGCACAATAATTATAAACCTTAATACGTATATATTTAAAAACACAAATAAATTAATTAGAAGTTTAATGGGCTCATACAATTAGATTGTATAGTAAGTTACTCCGTAAATGCAAATTATAGCTAATTATAGTATATTTCTCTTAGTACATATACATGAATCGTTAAAAATCGGTTAGAAACGCTCGCCACCGTGCCTCGCGAGCGCAGGAATTGAAATAAATGAGCGACCAAGTGACCGTATAGTGAATAGCTGCAAAATGATCCTCAGTATAAATTTTATCTCTAACTGTCTGGCATAAGCAAAAACTAATATCATGGTGGTCTCACTAATGCATTGTATATTTGGTTATATCTATACATATAATAAAATTGTAACTAAGCCGAATCTGTACATTAAATATTTATCGGAAAATCTTATTGAAATAGACTTTATTATCGATACAGAGGCTGAAACTTGATGTTTAGAATTTTTGTCTGTCTGTCTGTTTGTTACAGCATCACGAGAAAACTACTGGACAGATTTTGATTAAATTTAGTATAGTGATAGCTGGATAACCGGTTCAACATATAGGATACTTTTTACCGCGGGAAAATGTCTCATTTCTGAGAAAAAATACAAAAACTGCAATGTAAGAGTATGCTAATATGTAAAACCTAAGAATTTGGTTTTTGTTCATCTGAACGCGGGCGGAGCCGCGGGCAATCCTAGTCTATCATAAAAATATAGTTGGCTCTGCGTTATATTGTTGTTGCCTAAAATCAAATATTATGGGTACTGTACATATCTTATAGATACCTGCTCGTATCTTGTATCTTAATTTTTTATTTAAAATTTAACTTTTAACCTTTATATAATTATTTCCAGTTATCCTGATAATTTTTTTGTAATCTAAATGACTATAATAGAGGATGATTGATCCTGGTAGACCTAGAAACTTGAAAATCTAACAAAAGAGTTCTCGACTACCTTAGTGTATTCTAAAAAAGATCTGGAAATTCAAATTTAAATATATTAGGAAAAGTAATGTAAATCTATGGAATGTAAATAAAATGTCTGTGTAAGTTTGTTAATGCGTCGTGGTGAAACAGCTGAACGAATTTGGATGGAAATTTAGTACACCTATTAAAGCTATGGAGGACACATATGTTACTCTATGTAGTTAAGACACCTAAGTTGCCAATATGAAAATAACTCCTAAAAATGCTTGCGAAACAGGTTAAATAATATAGGATGAATTAAAATAAAAGATCATTATAAAAACGTCCACATTGCTACTTTTTTATATGTACGGTAAATAACTAATTAAGGAATATTTCTCAAAATTCATTCCCATTAAGATTTTTTTAAGATTTTACTTAATTAAATATTTAACTAAATTATATGTGTACTTAAATAATAAAGTTTTATATAAAATACCTATGTAGTTTATATTATATAAATATTTTAAGAAGTACTTTGATCTTAGAAATATCTTTTCAGAGTAAGGAGACTTTAGCTAAACATATTGGTACAACTACAATCTAATATTGTAAAGGTCTCTTTCACACTGATATTGCGCTTAACTGCCTCGGTGGTGTAGTGGTTAGCACGTACGGCTGCACACTCGGAGGTCCTGGACTCGAGTCCCGGGTCGGGCCAAGTTTAGTTATTGAGTCTTTCTGTATAGTAAGTCTCAGTAACAGCCCGGAGTTGGGAAGTTGGCGTTGTTTCACCCCCGTGCCTCGGAGAGCACGTAAAGTCGTCGGTCCTGCGCCTTAACTCTCACCGGTCGTGTCGAGTGGTCGTCCCAATAGAGTATGAGAGTGACAGGAATAGAGAGTGCACTTGTGTGTGCGCGTACACTTGTGCACTATAATATTATATTCTTTATTGCACTTAAAATATGATACAGAAAAAAAACAAAGTATCTCCTGCGCAGTTGGCTAGTCTCAATGAGACTGGCCGCCGTGGTCGGAATCGGTCAGGAGAACATCATCATCAAATGTTTAATATAAAAATCCCAAACTTCCATTGAAATTAGCATGCCTTTAACATATAGTGACCTAGTTATTACAGAAGTTTCAATTAGGTCATACGCATTACAGTGTATTAACATTAATCATTAATATAAGTTTTAACGATAGGTACCTAGGTATTTGCTAATATAAGTTATCTTTCAATGAAAATACGTCTACTAATTTTAATGACAAGAACACATTTTTGTGGTCCCCTAAATTTGACAAATAAAGAAAATGTAAGCCAAAACAAAGTCTTCAATTTTATTTTCTTAATTAACTATATATTTTTTTATATACTATTTCGATTACTACTATAAATTAAATATATTTACTTAATTAGTAATTTATTATTGTTTACTATCTTAATCGTGCCGTTATAAGAAGCGCAATAATTAACGTAGGTAACTGAAAAAATCTGGCGTACCTTCTGATATAAATCACTTAATTAAAATAAATCATTGATATGGCGTTAGCCCATCAAATTGATGCCTTGACGCCTGCGTGGGCATTGATTACTCTTAATAACTGGACTGATAGACAATAGTTATAACTATTATATGACAAATTAGTAAGCGCCTATACCATAAGTACTGGAGTTTCTAAATTATTTCTGAAACTTTTGCCTAGATACGTGTGTATTATTAATGTATATTGCCATATGAATACCTGTTTTTCATAATGCTTATTTATATAAATGTACAATAACATTTGTTAAGCTTACAATAAAAAAATTACATTTAGTCAGTATTATATGAGAACACTAACGGTATTTTAGTTTATAATACTAGACTTTAGCTGCGGCTGCGCTCATACTACTTTAAGTAGTTTATAAGCTTCCTCGCTAAATAGGCTATAAAAAATACAAAACTAAATTATAGAAAAAACATGAAATAGCTATGGATTAATTTTGCGTTCCAAGTTCGAATTTTGTCAAAGTAAAATGTAAGCATACTGCTCTTTATCCCATTATTTCATTAATATTATAAATGTGAAAGTTTGGATGATAAAAGTGTGTTACTCAATCACGCCAGAACGGCTAACCGGATCTGGATGAAATTTGGCACGGAGATAGATAGTCTAGAATAGAACATAAGCTACTTTTTGTCCCGGATAAATGTACGGTTCCCGTGGGATAGATTGGTTTGTCTTTCACTAGGGACCCGAACGAAACGAGGGGGTGTCGCTAGTAAACAATAATTAGGACTTTCAAACGATTAAGCTGTGTTATGATTATTCACACGCAGCTAAACTTACTTTCTTAATCAGTTAGTATTGATACTAACTTAAGAAAAAGGAAAAAATCATAATGCGGATAGATTGAGAGAAACATCTACTTTATATTAGACAGTTCATTAAATTCAACAAAACAATTAGAAATTAACAAAATCAAATTCTCTTTGAAGATTTAAAGTTAAAAGTAAAATTTCTTCATTAGCGTCCCAGTTGGCCTTTGAAGTGTCAGGGTTAACTTCGTGTGGTAGAGAAAGCTTCAAATGATATTGCGAAGAGTTGATAGTTACGCTTATAGTATCCACGGATAAGTCAATATTTTCTTTCTTATCTCCTGGCATAGACACTCTAACTATTAAATTTTCGCAACTTGCTGATGAAGGCGTTTTAGGTCCTATCTGTTGATTAGAAAAATAACAGTAAAGTTCTTTTTATATAAAATAATACACTTATCCGCTCTACACTTTTCACCAGATTAGCTGTAGGTAGCCAAAAAGACGTTATAAATAAAAATTTCGCCTTTTTGGAAGGCGGTTAAGAAGTAAGTTATTATCAAATGTTGGGGTCGTAATAGTCTATGGTTTAAATTAACCAAAACGAGTTTAGAAATTCGTATGGTAATGCAATAAAAATCAACTTAAGAACAGAAAGCAGTTTTTCATCGCCAAATGTATCTATCTACCTACCTAATCAAATTCATTGCGAGACAGACTCCACATTTATTTTAATTTGCATTTTGGTAGTGGGTATATCCGCCGGAATAAATAATTTACTGTTATAATTACCACTGGATAGTTATTAGGTAGGTTATATCTATTAGGTATATTATATTGCTCATATTAACAAAATTGGTCAAAATGCCAGTCCAACTCAGTTCTTTTTGAAGTTTTGGAAATTTAAACTTTCGGCCTAATTGGTTTCAATAAATTACGTTTTTTTAATGAAGCTCCAGCATATAGGTAATTTCACGAATATTTTTTTTTCATTTAGATTAGTAGAAAATGAGTGACTTTAAATACTAATTTATAGTTTGAAGACTAGGTATTTTTTATTTCAATATACTATTTATTTAGTTAAATAAGACAGTACCTACCTACGAATAATTAAATAGGTACATCGATCGTGCGCCGATGGACACACATCATTGAGTCAATTTATAATAAAAACGTTCATGAATAATTTTTAAAACAAATTTATAGATTTATATACTTACTATCTAAAATATGAGATTAAATATAAATAGAAGAAAACCTGCAGGAACACGTCCTCAGCGCTGACAGATTGTTGATAATTCATAGTGTAGGTAGGTGTTTTACGATCTCCTGTTCCAAACCCTACTTTACTCATTTGTTCTGCTTCTTTATCCTGTTGCTCTTCATATTCCTCGATGTTCGATGGAGTTTTTTGAGATAAAATTGGTGTAGAATTTTTATCCCTTGTTGCTGTTATCTCGTAATCTGAATAAGTTTATCTCTTTTTATTAAATAACTGGCATTTAATAAATAGTTCAATTCAACGGCTGCAATCATAATATGTATGTGTAAAATACGCACTTGTCGGCACTAAATCTTCTCCTTGCAATACTTCTGGTTCAGGCGCCTTTAAAAGTTCAGCTAATTTCTCTATATGTGAGACTGTAAACTCCATTATTATTAATATTTATTAATACTTTGTTTCCCGATAATATAAGTAGTACCAATTGTATAGTGAAAAATGTTTAGACACAAGACACAACATTGACTAAACAATATTTAGTTACCTAGCAACAACAATTTATTAAGTTTAATAATAATAGTCTACACCAGTATATAAGTGTATAATCTATGGTCTACACCTACCTAAATTCCAAAATGCTTTTAAATATTATAGAGCCAATACCACCAAATTCCTTTTAAGTGTTCGTTGTATAATAAAATTAACAACAATAAAAATATTACACGTGTTATAAAAACATTAAATTGACCATTGGTAAATAAAATATTATTCTTACAATTTTCTAAACATTTACCAACATTCTAAAACGACCACAATAAAACTGCTCATGACCACGACATTGAGTAGACATGTAGAGCCGTGATTAAGTTTATCTATACACTAATTAAGAAAATTAATAATCCATTAGCAACATCTCATTTATATTATTTAATTATCTAAAATACTTATATGAAGTAACATGACATTTAATATCTAATTAAATAGAGTATAGTGAAAGTTGGCTCTGAAACTTTATTTCCTCCATCCTCCATCTTTCTGCTTCATCTGTTGTACGGCTATAACTCATGTACATCTTTTTTTTTTCGAGCAGCAGACCAACTCTACACAATCTGTCATAGATGCTAATGAATAAGTTCTAGTAAGCCGGAGAATTAAATATTTTTCATAAATATCACATTGCATTTTGCATAATGCATTATTGAAGTAATACTTCTTTTGGTACGTTTAGAAAAAAATATGAGAGTAAATTTTTTACGATGCGCACGCACACCGACAGTCAGAGCAACATGATGAAGTTAGCTGCATTCCTTTTACAAACAGAGAGTTGTGACTTACGGGATGAAATCTTTAGTTATTTTTGGTCTTTTACGCCAAAGAAGTACCTACCTATTAATCTTACGAGCGTACATAAGTACACACACGTTTTTTATAGTAATATGTAACATTCAGTTATTTTATGTGCCAGTTTGTAGATTTTGACAATAGATTTTTGATATGTCAAGTGGACAGTCGGTGATTCGGATTATATGAGTTGGGAATATAAAATATAAATGTAAAATGAGTATACAGAAAAAGCGAGAAATATAATTGTTAATTGCCAAATATTTGTCTTCCTGGAAAACCCTTCTGAGCTGTTTTAAATACGAGTACCTATATTATCTGGAGTAGTACTTTTTTAAAGACACAAAAGTTTTAAAATTAGTGTAGTTGAGTGCCAACGGGCATGGTCATGTCGTCCGTACCTCCTCGCATATCCGACCGCGCGTTCATTGGGGAAATTTCATCTCTCTAGACTGTAACCCTTTGTAGTCTGTTTAAATCTGTATACAATATATTATTTCTCTTTGGGAACACTGTCAACTTTGGGGGAATCCCCTAAAATAGATAAGCCAATACAAAAGCATAAATAAGTATACATCCAATTTAAAGAACGCAGAGCGCTAGTAGTTAAAAAAAATATTTCTAAGTGCCTAGTTTTCTTTGATTAATCTTTGTAAAAATGCGAATATTTGTCGAACATTGATTGAATAATAAAGTTTCATAATTTCGTGAAGACCCTCATAAACCACAAGAATTTTCATTAATATAGAAATATACTAATTAGTAATTTCAAAAACATTTTACATATTTTTCTAAATTTCTACGATAATAAATCTCCTTTGTAGAATAGCGGCAATGTAACTACTTAACACACGTAATTTAAGTTCGAAAATATAGATGGCGCTAGTAGCGTGCATTTTTTGTTTATTCAGCAGTCAAAACTATTTATTATTTAAATTTATCTATGGTCAGAACATTTCATTTTCCAAATTTTATTTTATAATATTTCATTAGATCTAATCAAATCAATTAATCATTATTCATTAATCTCATTAGATTTAATATGACAATGCCCAATATAAAAGTGTGATCTTAGTTTCAAATGAAAAGCAAGCTGAAATAATTTTAATAAATCACATACATATTAACTGCTAAAAAATTAGAAACATTCAAGATAGTTTTAAACCTGTGTAAATTGCTAATTTAATTCCTGGTTTCATTAGTAATAAAAAAATATAGCAAAAATATGAGTATATATATAATAATAAGTTAATCAATCCCTTAATTTATGAAAGAAATTATTAACAATTGTTTAGTAATTTATGAAAGAAATTATTAACAATTGTTTATTATAACTTTAAAAGTTGAAAATAGATTTGCCATTAATTTAATTACAAGGTAATAAACTGACAATTGTAAATTATTTGTAACATTGTCACTAATATTCTTCTTAAGTTATGTATTGTTATAATTGTAAAGATTTTTACAGTTCAAAATAAATTTTAATGCAGAAAGCTACATAATACACACATGGGATTAAAATATATTTAAGGGAAACCATCATCATCTTCTTCAGCCATTTCTTTAGCAAGTTCCAAATCTTGTTGTTCTCTTTCTCTTCTTTCTTCTGCACTCTCCAACTCCTTGCCATATGATTTGGGGGGATATCTCATAGCTTTCACACTCTGATTGTGCAATTCAAGACAGAAAGATATACGCTGATGGAAAGCTAATTGTGGCTCCCTTGTACAATAGATATCGGAGCTTTCCTTGTTACTCATGTAACCCTTTTCTGGGTCAAGTGTAGCTTCAATAACTCCATCTCGGATGGCTTTGGCAACAATGAACTCTGCATCTTCAGCCGAGTCTAAGCCTAGTTTTCTAGCAATATCTTTGGGAGAAATTCGAGAATATGACAATCCAATTGACCTGATTGCAGTTTTAATGACATTTTGTCTGAGGCGTAGAATCAATGTAAAAGTATGATCACTGCGGAACTGAGGCCCAAAGTTTTCCAAAACCTCTCCAAATCTTTGTAGATTACCAAGTCTCACTGCCTGTGTGAGCTGGAAGTAAGGAGCTAGAGCTTTCCTAAGAGGTGCTTGGCGGAATATTGCTCGCTCTGGTATGTCACCCAACAGTAACTCTACAACAATAGCCAGTTTTTGCACAGTTTGCCTAAATCCAACAGCAGCCGTTTGAGGCGCTTTACGTAAAGCTTGAACTAAATGCTTATGTGCATCACTGTACTCTAATCTGGCAGCTTTAATTCTACCAAGGTAGTACAAAAACCTTGCCCACTCATTGTTACTAGCATTTTCTGGGAACACTGATTTACTAACCAATTTGTCAGCTTGGTCATACAGAGCATAATGTAGATAATTACGCAAAAGGCAATTTATCAAAACTGCTTGACCTTCATAATCATTTCTTAAGGTTGATGTTCGCAAACGAGCATGCAACAAACCTCTAATGAGGTCTAACTTATTGGTAAGCTCAAAAACTCGTGAATGGTAGAAATAACACTTGGCAGCAATTAAATCCAAAGTTCTGCGGTTTTGAGCTGTTACTTTGTTCATTAGTTGTTGTGAACATTCTACAGCTTCTTCAAGTTTATTTGTATCCAACAAACGAAGTAATACCAACAGATGTATATAAGCATCTACTTCGGGTGCAGGAGTTTTCGGAGCACTTCTAGAGCGTGGAGCTTCTATTTCAACTGCACCAGGCAGTGGATTCTCAACGAAAGCGATCACGGCTTCTTTGTCTGGACTTGCGGGATAGAGCTGATTAATAATAGCACGAAGTACATTTCCGTTTAGTTTCCTTCTTGTATTCGGTATAGATCTAAGAACGCGCATAGCAAACCTTGGTTCCTTCGATGATACAGCTTTATCAATTTGTCTAACATGTTCCCTCAAATCTTGAACAGCTAGAACATCGGCATCTTTCTTTACTTCATTAGTTTCTACGTCGCTGGCTGCAGTTGGGCTGTCCACATTTTTCATTTCCACATCTTGCTCTACGGGAGCCATTATAACTATTTACCAATAATAATTTCCAGCTTTCTTGAACTCAATGCTATTTTATTCCACAGAAGAACGCTTCAATTTCACTTGTTCATGATATGTCAAAAATATGCAGAGTAACAAAATCGTTCGGATACGTAATCAACAATATTACTTAATACTTTAAAAGATTGTAGACTTTAACAAAATACACAATCATTAAATTAAGTAAATTATTAGATATTAATAAATTAAGGTGAATAAAAAATATATTTTTTATACAAAGTACTTCACAAATTAAAATTTAAATACTGCAGGTATCTAATTATTACTTTATAGGATTAAACAAAAACACGTAAGTAAAATATTTAGTAGGAATAAAAATCTTATTTTTATGCGTAATCATTTACACAATTTTACTTAATTATATTGATTTCATATAATATTCATAATGAGCAAAATGATATAAACTGGATTCATCATTCAATATGATTGTCTATCTTCCTTTGTCCCATAGACTATAGACAAGACAAAACTACTAGCAATGCTCGTAGTTGCTTAACCAATATACTTTACTAGGGAAATAGTGATAAAAAGCTTTTAACAGTTTTGATTACTAATGTTACACTCAATTTTTTTTGGATTACAACCATCACATCCCAAGAAACGTGCGTGCCAAAAATTATAAGCCACGGAGGCGCTACGGCCGCAGGGGACCGGTTAATTCTTTTCATAAAATTTCAATGTGTTCTGGAAATGGTTTGCAAAGAGGACGTGGTATCATGGTTTAAAGAATTGGAAAGCTATAAACGCATAGACGCAATGTGTACATTACTAAATATGTGCTTGCCATTTGAATTACGTTTTATTGGCACGTATCTTGAAGAGCTCGGTAAGCGGGACTTTCAGGAGTTGCGTGGTGCCGAACTGAGAGCTAATAATCCTACAGATCTCGCTGCTGATATTGGAGGAGCAGACACAGACTCCAGGACGCGACGGAAAATGGCATTATATGTTTCTCTTTTACGGTCGTGTAATTTCGCTTGTGCTACCACATTGTACAATGCTATGGTCAGTTTAGAACAGAGTGGCTTGCTGAAAGGTCTTTATGGTGATCTTTTAGAAGAAATTCTCCTCTTGTACACTATGGCCTTACATCATCCAGCTTTTACATTTGATCAGAAGTCACATTTTGGTGAGATACTTGAAAAATTAAAAATTGAGGATCAGCGGTTACAGTATCAAGAACAACAAGAGCATAATATAAACATAGCTCCTGTGAGTGGTCATATACAGTCAACCATCACTCCTAATATGTCTGTCCCACCACCCAATTTGTCTAGCTTGGGGCCACCACCTGGTATCATGTTTGTAAAGACACCTGGGGTACAGGTCAGTGTCATTTATCACTATTCATAATTCATTATTCATTATGTTCAATTCTATGTGCTTATTATATTTATTATAAATGTAGTGTCTACAATCATGAAAACAAATCACATGCATAAATTATACTTGAAAAGTTAATTCCGTTCAAAATATCTTTTTATATTTTCCTATACTGACAAAAGATATCCCAAGAATGAATAAAATATTTATCAAGTTATAACCTTAATCTCCTTTACAATTTTTAAAAAGAAACTGGAATCTCATAATATATTATATGCATGGGAAAGAAATTATGTACCGATACCTTAATATTTGCATGCATGAAATATAAAAGATAATGGAGTGGTGTATTATTGGTAATTCATCATTATTTTATTTCTGTTGTAATTTTGTAATTTTTGTTCTTTGTTTATATTATCATATTTTTTGTTTATATTTCTCATTATTTCAAGTTATTTAACTTTATTAAAATACCTAAGTAGAATTTATTATTAAATATTTGATTTGAGCAATTAATATGAACACATTTATGTTTAAAAAAATTCAATTACTCTCAGCCATTATGGTAATATACTTAAATCTCTGTGATTTTTAGATAATATACAGTTGTTATGGATTTCATTTATGTCAGACTTTATATTATATTACAAAAATATTCATAATTTTTGAAAAGCTCCTGGTGATTTATATGCTCATTTTTGTTGATTCAGTAATACCTTAGAAATCATCTTACATGTTTGATTTTAAATCATATAATTAAATAATTGGTGACTAAAAATGTTTTTATACATAGATTTCATAAATAATAATAATAACATTTAAAAAACAGTTTCACATGTTATATATACTTACTTTGAAGATACAAAATTTATTATATACCATGTAAATGTAATATTAAAGTAAATAATCCTTAGCTAAGCTAACTAATAATGTGTATAGTCTATTTGAGAAACAAAAAAAATATTTTGTACAGAATTAGATAGTTTCAACAATAGACTTACAGTATTTATTTTCTGGCAAGCTTAAATATATTATCTAAAATATAATTTAAAGTGGTTGGTGTTATAATTTTTTTTTGTATTTATTAGTCGTTAATACAAAAAAAATATTCCAGTAAGACCAATCCATAGAGATACAAAAAAGTAATAATATATGGATAAAATAATTCCAGCCTCCAAGTTCAGATGCAGTTGCAGAGCTCAATTCGCCTTCAGTACTCAGTGGTGCAGCGAACATGGTGCCTATTTTAGGAGAAGTTCCGCATCCACCTCCAGGTCTCCCTATTCCACAGTACAATGTAGGGGACTACATAGGTCAGCATACATGGCCTGCAAATATCATTGTTTCACCACTCAACCAACCAATAGAGGTAAGATTAGTTGGTGTCTTCTATTGAAATATTATTTCTATATTACTTTCATGGTGTTATTACTATTTTTAACATATTTAGTTATGATTTACATTTATAAAAAAACTTACTTAAAAAAGTAAATAGCACATATTTATTCTTCATACTTTAAAAAAATCTGAATAATTTCATTACAAAAGTCCTAGAAAAGTATGTGACTAGGTAATTATTATTTATTATAGTTTATCAAATTAAACAAACGTTAATCTGATATTTCAGGTATTGAACTACCAAGCCGGACCAGGGGGTGGAGCTCCAGCGTCCCCACTGGTGTCCTCCCCGGGTGACAGTCGTGCGGCGTCCCCCCGGGCCCGCCGTCGGCTGTCACGTGACCGGTCTCCGCCCCTCGTGCCTCTGCCACCGGACCAGACATTGCCACATCTCACAGCCAACTTTGACAACTTAAGTATTGCCGAGGTCAGTATGTGAGAAAACAAACATTGATTGATGTATGATCAATACACACTATTCACTGTTTGTGTCTATGTGAGCGTTTGTATTGACCATATAAAAATAAGATTAAATGCCAATGATAGTCGTCCTTGTACTTTCTACCTTTTTGGCATTTAAATAAATAGAGAAATAGAAAGTGACTAGCGATTTACGATCAGTTCGCTCACTTATAACGGCTAGTATGGAATAGATAGACTGCATATTATAAATATATATACATAGGTATGATGACTTGTTGTGGGTGGTAGTATAATGTGTTTTCCCGTGGGAATGAGATAATTTCCCTCTGTAAAAAGTAGCCTGTATCACCACCAGCCTTCAAACTATCTTCACGCGAAAAATCACTATAATCTGTCACTCCGTTTCTACGTGAAAGAAGAACGAACAAACACTTTCATATTTATAATATTACAAGTGACTCATCCTTGCTTCTCTCGGATTCGTCCCTAGTTTGATTCCCCATACAAATTTTCATCCCCATGTTCAGCCCTATAAGGGATAATTTTCGGGATAAAAAGTATCTTATATCCTTTCCAGGGTCTCAAACTGTCTTCTTACTAAATTTAATCTAAATCTGTTCAGTAGATCCAGAGATTACCCCCTACAACCTCACAAACTCACAAAGTACCTATTTATAATACTAGTATAGATATAGATATTTTTATACAAGCAATGAGGCATGCTCACCGTCGGAGCGTTCAAATGCTACTAAAAAGCGCGCTCAAATGTTCAAATAAGCGCTCATTTGGTGAGGAAGTTTTTGTCGCTGATTGAGTATCTAGTACTTTTTTGATTGATGCTAACTAATAAATATTTTTATGTAAAATTACACTGACATATAAAATGTATCTTCACAAGCGTAAATATTTTTCAAATGAATAAAGTGTAATTATTCTTTAATTTTAGATTCGGCATAACATCGGTGAAGAGCGATTACGAGAGATATCTGCCGTTCACCATCAGTATAGATCGCTGGAAAAGCTGAACGGTGTGAGAAGACGCGCCGCTTACTGTCCTCCGCCGCGATCCTCCTCAGATAGCGGGTCCAGTGCAGCCTCCTCACCGCCGAGCACTCCCGCGCCTCAGTTGCGGAGGGCGACCCCCTCCGCGCCCCCCGCACCCACCGCCCCCGCGCCCACAGTGCCCTACATCCCCTACCCGCGCCCCTACCCCTACCCGACACCGCCTCCCGCCTACCGACCTCCACCACCCCCCTTCGCCAACGGGGAACCCCCTCCCTACCCCACACCAGCCCCCTACGCGGGCTTCGTCCCAGTCCTATATGCACCCCCCAAGCTCTCATGCTGGAACTGCGGGGCCGCGGGACACGCGGGACACGAATGCAAGGAGCCCAGTATGGAGGAGATGACCCGCGCGGGGGGATACCAACTAGACTTCGGTGGCGCCCCCCCACCGGAAGCGAGCGATAAATAACACATAGAGTGGAACTAGTATTGCCAGTAACGCGAAATCGGGACTCTCAGCGTGTAATCGAGACGCCTGGCAACACTACGTGGAATTAGTTCTGGGATCGAATTGATCCAAAGGCCTCAGTTGGGCCGCCTTTGATATTAGATCGAAGTATTCAATAGATACGACCTTAGTGTAAAAGCTTGTTGGGCTTTTCGTGTAGTCAATTCGACTTGGCGTTGTTGCACTTTCAATTTGCCAGTTTTCATACAAATTGTCGTGATTTGTACGGCAGCTTGTGGAAATTGATTTGTTTTGTAGGATTTGATCTATTTAATAAATATATTTAGCGATTGGACGTTTGTTATAACAAAAATACGAGTATGCATTTTTTTTTGAAGTGTTGAATTTAGTAATTAGTTTAAATTAATACTATACAGTAGTGTTTGTAAATAATATAAATTTTTAAATATAGTTTGTGTTGTAAGTTAGAAAAGTACAAGTACAAAATGTCAAGAATATTTGATTAATTATGATTATTATTTATGTAATAATTCAATCTGATAAATTGAAAGTGTAATAACTTGATAATATTTGGCAGTCACATGGGTCTATGGAATTCCATATTATTACAATGATGTTAAAGGAAACTAAAAACATGTAAAATGTTATCCTTAATATTTTACAATACAAATTAAACCGACCGACTTACCATCGCTTCGCTCGAGTGCGTCACTAGGAATGCGGAGTTTGTTCACAATTTCTTGGGTTTTAATTTTTTTTGCGCAGAACCCTAATTATTTATCTAAAATAAAAGCAGCCTACGTTACTCCTTATAACATTAGTTAACTGCCAGTGAAAGTCCCATCCAAATCGGTCCAACCATTTTAGAGATTAGCCGGCACAAACAGAGGCAGATAAACATATTAAAATTTGTTTTTTTTTTATAAGCTTTGCTAATATTTACTTTCATATGTATGTAGTAAAAAGCTTTTATTTAGACATTACAAACAGGCACTAGAATTTTATTTATCTGTACAGATTATAAAATGTCAAAAATGGAGTTATTTCTAAAATAGCTTAAATATTAAGTGCCATACATTGTTAAATTCTAATTGGTTTAATTTACGCAAAATGGTGTCTTATAGTAAGCATTTTATACATATTTATTATTTAATAAGATGTATTTGGTTGAGAATAAGTTAAAGTTTAATTTCAAAGTACAAAGTATTTGAAAATCTCATCTTTTATATTAAAACAATACTTAAACAGTTTAAAAATATGGAATTCCTTATAACTCTTCAATAAATTATTATAATATTCAAAAAACGACAAATAATATGTTATGTTTTTAATATAGATACAGTTGGAAAGATTTACATTTGGATAAAATAGTTTTTAAATTATAGTTATGTCAGTTCGATACTGTGTGGTATACATACATACGGAAAACTCAAATATAGTTGAACTCAGTCGAATTATATATATTTACTAGTGACTTGCTATCGCTTCGCTCGAGTCGCCCTAATTACGTGGATTTTGTTCACAAAGTCATGGATTTTAATTTTATTGCGCGGCACCCTGTTTATTTTTTCTAAAAAAAAAGTAGCTTAAGTTACTCTTTATAACATCAGCTAGCTGCTAGTGAAAGACTCGTCAAAATCGGTCCAGTCGTTTCAGAGATTAGCCGGAACAAACAGAAAGACAGTATTATGCAGTTATCTGTATAGATAAGTTTGTATTTGGGTTATTCCAAATGGATTCGAACTAGTCAAATTATTTCGACAATATTGTTTTTTCATTTTTTTTTATATTAAAAACATAACAACATACTGTAAACATCTCAAACACTAAGCCATATGTATAAAGTTCAAAATCGTAATGACTGAAATTATTGTTAATAGTTTCCTTTGACCCAAGACTGATTTGTAAAACTACCGATATCCAAGGTTTTTAAAACTTTTACAGTTTGAAGAATTTTGGACGCAACGTGCAAGTTTGAGAATCAGGACTGTAAGAGTAAGAGAAAAATGATAAAAAGTAAAAACACAAAAAAAAAATATGAAATTTAAATCTGTACCCATATGTGTGTATTTTGAACTATTTTAATCGGGTAGATGAACTTCGAATCGTATATATTTCTGGTGTCAGTATCGTTTAAATGTAACAATCGCATAAATAAAGAAATTAAGACTTTTTTTATCAGATTTTAATACTTAGCATTGATATTTTTGTAATAATAATTAAATATTTCGATACGTAGATGGATTTCAACGATGGCGATACCGGAACTATAGCCCAAGATCAATTTGACGTGAAGGCAATGCTCTTAATAATATTATACTAATGTAAAGCAAATGTAAATAGTTACGAGTGTACAATGACACGCGATGTGATCATATTTTGTAAATATTCTCGTTTATATTATATAACTAGTTGGTATTTAGTTATTTGTAAATTTGTAACAACTCGAGTGTCCCATTAGAGTATTCGATTGTTTATGATCACTGTCACAAATCACAATATTGCATTTTTTTAAATCCCGTTTTTAATGTTCAAATTAGATGGGTTGTATAATTGTTTTTTTTTTGCATAATTATATTTTTTAATCGAATCGAATAAGTCGCGCATGGTGGGTGCGGCGTCCTGAGGTCGATTTTATTTAAATTTTAACAATATAGTGATCGGATATTTTGGTGTTTTTAATGTTCTATTGCATTTAGTACTCGACTGTAGTTAACCGTCAAGACGATTTGCGTCTCGCCTGTATATTATCACCAAATTTCATAAAACATGTATGTAAATAGTAGAATAATTTTATAAATTGATAATAATTATTAGTAATAGTGTTTGAATAAATGCAATCGAAAACGTTTTCTTTGCCCTTAAATGAATAAACAGTTGTAAGCTGAATTGTGAGGGTCTGTTATGAAAATCCTCCTTATAAAGGTTGTATGTCCATATAACGTAAATATTGTGTTATTTATATCTTAACAATTTTATTATATTTAAAACAAGTTGTAGTTAAACATAGACGTAACTTAAACTTAACTGTGTTTAAAGAGGAACCTGAATAATACATGTTGCTAATCGTCTGTAGAACAAAGTTGCATTTATAGGGATGTAAAAGCTGTTTAAATAATTTTTTACGATGAAAAGATTTTGTGCTCTCGTATACGACTTTGTTCTACAATTAACACGATTTTTGTTTGTATTTGAAAACTTAGCTCACGCGTACTACGAAGAGTAAGTACATAGTATCACTTATAGACGCGAAATCGTTGGAAACAAGTCCCAGTGTTTGGATGAATATTTAAATTGGTTTATTCTTATATAGGTCTGTATATTTCTGAGTAATTTGCGTGTATAATAAATTAGTCTTTATCTGTAATGACCAAAAAAGAAAAAAAAATATGATAAAAATTTTGAAGTTATTTTCTAGAATTAAAAATGATTAAAATGACACATTTTGTATTTTTTTATTTGATTATCTTAACACCTTTAATAATAATTTTATATAAGGTTATATACAAAAAAAATGTTTTCGTTGGTATGTGGCAAGTTTGACATAACATGAATAAATAGTTATAAACCTAAACTAAGCGCCGTACATATTTTTACAACAAAAAAATGGTTTCTATTAAAAAGGAATTATTTATGTTTTATTTAAAACACAAGTTTTAAATAAAACATAAATAATACCTTATAATAGAAACCTTTTTTTTTATTGTATTAGTGAACCCGTCCGGTACGAACTGTACGCCATTTTCTTAAAAGTACGTGTGAGTGAAGTGATTCAAGTACTTTCTAACTGGCGACAGCTAATCCATCGACATTATAAAAGTTATAAACAATCTTCTATTTTGTAGCGATGGAGATATTTTTTTACTTTGTACAAAATGTTATAAATGTGATAAATAATTTTTAACATAATTAGCGATTGTGATTTTAGTAAGGTGTGTAGTTTATAAAGATGTCGCTTCACTAAATAAATTATGATATACGCTACAGCGATGTGTAACTTTGTTCTCCCATAATTTTGTATTTGGGTATTTATATGCTGTTGTATTACTAATAAAAAATATGGATCGGCATTACAGGAGATAGAGTGTTTCGGCCGTCAGACCTCTGTATCCCACCAGTGCTGTGAATCATTTGCTTCCTGACAAATAAACAACCAAAATCTTGAATGTGTTATAATTTTTTGTTATTCCTTTGCTTACATATTGATCAAATAAATTGGTTTTTCTTGGGATAAAAGGTTATAATTTCTATATATTGATCATATATGCCTTGATTTGAAAAAAAATATAAGTACAGTTGGATTTGTTAGTAATTAAGAAACCAACTTAATAAAATATAGGTATATTAATTTTAATCGACGAAAATAAATATGCATAGTTAATAAATTTAGATTGTATTCAGCCCTTTTAACGTTCTACTGTTGAGCACGGGGCCCTTCAATACGAGGGGATCAGACCATAGTCCACCATCCACCACCACGCCACCGTCCACCAGGCCAAGTGCGACGCCATCCCGCTTCACATATCTTTCGAAAACTTGTTAAGTTCTCTTAAACACGATGTTTTCCTTTACCGTAAGACAAGTGGTAATCATGTTGGAAATGATAAGTACATGAAAATATCAGACCCGGGATTTGAACCCGCTTCACTCAGTTACCCAAGCGAGCGCGCTACCACTGGGCTACCATTGCCTGCGAATTTAGATATTAGCGGTAATTACCTAATTTATTCCGAAAATTTGTATTCTGTAAGAAATCACAATGTAAAATTGTGGCTGCGGTTATCTGGCTGCTAAAATCGACGATTTACCATCAGTAAAGTTTGTACGACTTTTGTTGAGAAAGTTGGGAGGATATAAATGATTCAAACAAAATAAAGGACAATTTTAATTGACATTTATAAAATTGTTTCTAAAATTATTTCCAAAGGATTAACAAAATCCATTTTTAATGAGTTTTGTTTTAAGTTTTTTTTTAAATGATGATAGAGTAGGGTGGT